CTAATGCGTGCTAAAAAATTTACTGTGAATAAATCACATATTTAGAAATATAATCCGATAAAAATCTCGACCTTGATTAAAATGTCTCTAAACCTCGTTTTGCTCTGTACTGACCCAAATGGTGATTGCTTAGTATTGAATGTACCTTCAATTTGACATATTGATATAACACAAATGAAGTTGAAATACAATATGCACTTTGTATAGTGTTTTAAATCAGGATAAATCAAGATCTACCAAGACTTCATTTAATCAATTGCTTGCCTATAAGAAGCTTAAAAAGCATAGAACGTTTGGTAATATCACGCAAAGCTATTCAGCTAAGACAACCGAAGAGTATCAATGGTTCTCTACTAAATTTACACCGCCTTCCATGGCAACGATGTGGTTCTTTGGGACTGTTTCCGGGTTTGTTAAAAATACTATAATTGGAAATATCACACTCAAAAGCACCATTCAATACGTATAAAGGACTTGCTATTAATCAACAAGATGCTATAAATAACGACCAACCTGAATTTTTTGGAGAGATATTTGAAGATAACCAGATAACCAGTTATAACCGAGATCAGACACCTGATATAGGATAAATAAATAATACTTAGATTTTCGTACGTACGTACGTATAACAAGTTCTTATACTGTATATAGAATATAACATAAAAAATCACATTATATTGTATATATTTTAATTCAGAATTTCGTAATAATTGATGACAAAAAAAAAAAAATCTAATTTGCAATCTTCTACGTATATCAATCCGGTGGCCTGATAAAATCCAACCATAATCTTGTCCCCGTGATTTGAAATCAGTAAGGAAGATCTATAACATGGTTAATTTAGGTTAATACATAAATAGAAATTCAGAATACGCACTCATTATGTACGTATAAATTATATAATTTTTCACTGAATGCTCTATCGTACGTACGTACGTGCGTATACAATACGTAATGATGTCAAATAGCCTGACTCTATAGGGCTTGAGAAATGGGTTTGGTCTGGGACAAATGGGTTTGACGCATTATCTTGCATGGTTTGGTCTGGGACAAATGGGTTTGACGCATTATCTTGCATAATCTATTATATCCTTGAATTATTTTAGGGTATTTATCCGAATTACCTTAAATTTATTGTGCAATTGTTTCATATAACGGACCAATTAAAACCGATTAATTACGGGGTTCAAAATAAATTCGGTGCTTATGTCTAGGATCCAATTTCTCCGATTAGCCCATATGACGTGCTCTCAAGTCAGATTTGTATATAGCGATAGTAGTTTCTTTCAATTTATTGTTTTTTAGCGTAATGGTAACCACAGTTTCAAGAACAGAAAGTAGCTTTGGGGTTAGTGGAGCTGGTGGTCGTTCAAGTAGTAAAGGTACTGTTTTATTATTGATTAATAAACATGAAATAAATATTTACTTATAAAAGAATGCGTATTCTCATAACATACAGTACAAAACGTACAAAGACATTTGGGTCATTTCCTAAAAAAGCTAGTTAACTTGATTCAGGATAATACAGAATCTAAGGTATTAATAATGTATTCCATTTTTGTTTGAAACATCTATTTTGAATAAGCTAACAATCTGTTTCTCTTAGGTGATCACTCAAATCGAAAATGAAGTTAATGCAGAACTGCGCAAAGTACATGATGTGGATATTATAGAACTTGAATTGCCACGTATAAAGGCCGAGGGCAAGAAACGTGATAAAATTTTTGAAACGATCCATAATATTTTTAATGCTGAAATTGTTGACAATAAATTATTCATCAAAGTGGGTTACCATTTTGTTTTATAATTATTTTACATAATTTCTAATTATTTGTTACTATTCAGTTTAATGGAGGAATTAAATCAGAAGTACATAAGAAAGTGGTGTATTCGCTTGATCAACAACTTCCAACTTGGTGGAATCAGATTGATGTAATACTGTATGTGTGGTTAACGGTAATCAGTATCGACCTGACGTAGGTGGTTGGAACCCTAAACCAGCACTTAATCAAAGAGTTTTTCCTATAATTAATCCATGTCCACCACCGTTGCTATGGATCGAGGTGAAGATCTTATTCCATTATCTTCAGAACGATTTCTTGATTTCTTGACAATCGGCTAAAATATTGATAGGTGACCTACTGTATGATAATTCTGGGGATTGTGATAATGCTATAAATAAAGTCGCACGCGTTCAACCCCACTGTCCGACCACAGAATTTGTAATCGTCGTTGTTCCGGCTACTGAAACCCCCCTTCCAGCAAATTCAAATCCAGGCACCGGTTCAGTTGCGGCAACACCCAAAACGGCTCGTCCATCTCGTGCTCCATATCTTGGACATTTGTCCGCGGGAAATATTATTACTGCAATTCAATGGTACAAGATAAAATGGAATAGGCATCTTGTATTAGGATGTGGAGCGAATATAGTTTTTAATGATATACTTGAAGTCTATACATAAAATTTATAATCAACAAATCAAATTATTATACTTTCTTTATTATGCACAAAAATTTATATGATGATATTGGTATCGGAATCTAATTTGCAATAAAGAACATAAGGATTTGCTATGTGACGAAGCGATATAGAGGTTAGAATGGGTGTTTCTACTACCCCATATAAAAAAAGAATTAAAAAAACATCATATAATATTCATTGAATATGCATAACTTTAGAAGTAAAGCCTCATGTGATAATATCAAATTGCGCCAGTACCCTCTTCTTATTTCATAAAAATCGTGTTACGGTAAAATAAAAAATGGCGAGGCCACCAGACCCCTCTTCTTTATTTAATAAAAATTGTTGCCGGAACAACAATATAACATACAAATAAAAAAAAAAATTTTATTAACTTTGATCTACGATATCCTGTGCAACATCGTGAGGTAAATAACCTTCACCACATTCTAAACAAATTGTGCGTATTCTTTTGCAACAAAATAAAGAGGTTTTTTTTCAAGAAAATTATCATCTTCTTCAGGATCGTAGTCCGGATTATCTGTACTAATGCACAGAATATGTATCACATATGCTTTATTTTTTGACTTCAAATATATGCGAGAAGATAGAATTTTACTTACCACGTCTGTTTCTCCTATTATTACGTTGACGATTGGAATTATGTGTTCTTTGGTTAGTTCTAGGGGTGTTATAATTGTTAGTCTCAGGGGTATTAGGATCGTTAGTCTGGGAGGTGTTAGAATCGTTAGTCTTGGGGCGTTATTATCATCAGCTTTGGGGGTATTACTATCATTAGTATTGGGGTGGTGCTATCGTTAGTGCACCTAATTACAAAAAAATCATAATAAGTAAAAATTCGTTTTTATAATCTCCGTTAAATGAAATAGTAAATTACTTTAAAAATAAATTACGGGAAAGGATTTTATACTTCATATTTGTTAGGTGAGAACCTGCCAAAAGGAAAATCTAAATTTTGATCAAATGACCAGGTCATTCACTATCCCTGCCCGAAACTATCTTTTATAAGCTCGGTATAACTTATTTACTTTAGCGACGGATATGTTAGACGGTTGATAACAATTCCGTGCTTATGCTTAAGTAAAATATAAGGTTTATTGCGATTACGCTTTAAGAGGATTTAAGTGATTTGCAGTTACGAAAGAAACGGCTAAATGTATATGAAGATACAAGTAGTCGTATAAAAGGTTTATGATTTATTCAATAAAGTACTCAAGTCATTCGTGTATGAAAACACAATTACTCTTCATTTATTGTTGAGTTATCGACTGATGTTTTTACAAGGGAGGGGTTGAGGCTTTCAAGACATTATGATTTCTTGCTATCATACCTACTAGTTATACTATATCTAATATTTCTATTATATTGAATAGAACTAATTTATCCCTCGGCCAACTCCATCTATGTAACTTTTTTCATATACTTATTTCTACTAGATATATATCTATTTAATTTAGGTAATTGAGTATTATCCTATTTAATCTTAAATGTCAAAAACAATGCGTAAAATAAAAGTTTCGTTTTAAAATAACTACATGAAAGTTATGTTGCATAGATGGCAGGGATAAATCAGTTATATTCTGTGTAGTTGGATATAAGCGAAATTTTCTAATAAAGTATAATCGGCTGCTTACGCGGCCGATTATACTTACTGCAAAATTCCACTTATACTCAACTGCCCAGGATATAACTATTACTTATTATAATACATCCTAATTTTGAACTTTTATATGTTATCATTTAAAGATACTATATTTTTAAAATTATATATCTTAAAAAGTTATTATAACCTTCTAGAAAATAAAACCGCTAAGTTGTAGTAAATTAGCAGCTTCCTCTTTTAATATCTTTTTTTGATCAAAAGTTATTAGCTTTGAAATTAGTGTAGCCTTTAAGCGTTGCGCACTGTAGTACTAGCAAGATATAATAAAAATATTCACTTCTAAGTGAGGTTTCTTGGAAGCGTGGATTATTTTGAATTAATTTTAAGAGTGGATATATATTTCTAGAAATTGCTTTCACAGTGAAACGTTACATTCTCCAAAAGTGCTTTAAAGTGTAAAGCAATTGATTTATATCAGCCGATAAAAAGAAAGCCTGCCTATAATCTGACATCCCAGAAACCAACATTTTAATATTATTACAGTTACAGTATTAAACAGGAGCGACTGTTCAAATTCGTAGATAATTACACGTGATTGTCAACCAATCGTATCTCTAATTAGTGTTCCGCAGAAAAGGATCCGAACGGATCCGGTATTTTTGACGGGTATAAATTTAACATTTCACAAAAGGTACCAGAACTGAAACTGTACGTATAATTAATATGGAATACACACTATCGGCAATAGGCACCATTTGCCTCTCACACGCTTCTGTCGCCATTGGCGGGTCCTCCAAAACTGTTCGTTCGGATCCGGATCCGGTTTTTGTAGCGAGTTTGAAAGACTTTTACTGGCTAAAGGTGCATGTGAAAAGCAAATAGAGCCTGTTTCTGGTAGTGTGTTTTCCATATTAATTATATGTACATTTTTAGTTCGAGTATCCTTTGTAAGTGCTACTTTAATACTCATTAAAAATTCCGGATCCGTTCGGATCTTTTTTGCGGAACAATATCTCGAATTTTAGCAAATCGGCCAATCAGGTTGCCAAAAAAGTTTTGGGATTCAAAGAATATGTTATAAGGCGAAGCAAAAACATCAATTCATCCGTTAAATTTATTCTCGTTTCATAGAAAATTAAGCTACCCGAGCTTTTAAAAGTATTGTAAAATATATAATACAATATTACGAAGTACCGAAATAGTACTGATTTCACCGATAATCATTTTGCAGATAAAATTGGCCCGCTTTAGATTAGAGTTAGCCTGATTTATAGTTAGTGTTACAGTTGTCATCATAATTTCTGGAGCACCATTAGCAGTGTTGTCACGGGATAGTTGTGGACAGTAAGTTTGGACACTTTGGACAATTTTTGACAATTAAATAAATTAAAATTACTTAAAATGTTATTAAGATAACTTATATTATTTTCTAAGTAAAATATAAAAAATATATAATTATATATTTTTTAAATAAATTTATTAATTATTAAAGCTTGGACATGCTCTGGACACTTGTAGACACTTGGACACTTGGACGTTGGACAGTGCCAAAAAAGTCTTTGGACAGTCAAAACGTACATCACTGCCATTAGCAAAGATTTGGGGGTGTCAACAGAAACCAAGCAAATTGATTTTTAGTAAATTTTTTTTAAACTTTAGATTAAAATATCTCAACTATTAAATCAAACTTGATAAAAATTTTTTTTAATTCTATAGTTATAGAATTAAAATAAAAAAATTTTAATCAAGTTTGATTTTAATAGTTGTTGAGATATTTTAAATTTTAAGAAAAATTTCCTAAAAATAATTTGGTTTCTGTTGACACCCCCATTCTCTGGCCGATTCGAATTCTGCACATTAGATTCCAATTGATACGAGTGCTGCAGAGCGAAAACCTGTAACTAATCATAATGATTTACAGTGGCGATCATAAATAATGGAACAAAAAAAAATTTTTAGTTAAATCGAATTATCTCATGCAATTCCAGACGTATCTGTTAACTTATTTTATTCCTAAATATTGTAGCTTTTAAAAATAAAAATTTTAGAAAGTATTAATAGGCCAAATTTTTCACAGGTATGAGCTTTATTTTAAAAAGCGTGTTGCATTATTTTTGATCGTTTTTAACACAA